ATATATGTGTACATGTGGATGCATGTACATGCAGAAGATGGCATTGGATCCCCAGAAGCTGGAGATACAGTTGATTGTGTACCACCTTATGTGTGCTGGGAACCAAATCTGAGTCCTATGATCAAGAAGTCCTCTAACTACTGGGCCATCTTTCCAGTACACTGGTTATTCCTGTTCCTAAGGAAGAATAACAGTCAGGCTTGGATTGTAACTCACGACTTACGAGAGTTTATCCTGGTGATAGCATAATAAAAATCACCCAGTTGAATGGGAACTGTGTGGTGCTTATCGTATAGTCAATGTAAGCATAATTCGGCATAAATGCTAGGTTACTTCTAAGTGAGTGCTCATTTCTATGAAGCTTGCCTTGATACTGGCTGTGCTACTGTGTTTAGGGCAGTCAGTGGCTGCTGCATGCAGTCTGTGTTTCCGAGGGAGGCGGGGAACAGATGAAGAGGACAGCATCTGAAGGGGGCTCACATTCGCTTCCTTCTCCCTGGCTCGTGGAGCCAGGGCCGGCTATGGAATGGGAACATAGTGGTTCGGAAAGTTAAATTTAGCAAGTTGCTAAGACGGATGGAGCCGGGCTTAAATTGCATACAGCTACCTTCCTGGAGAGGCTGTTTCCCCGCTTTATTCCTTTCAACCAGATGGCTGTGTGTTCCCCTTTACTCTAGAGTTATCAGTAGAATGCCCACTTTTGTGGGTTTTACAAGTTGTCCCACAGTAAGTTTTACTTTTTTTGCATGTTGCTTTAGGCGTAATTGTAACCTTTATTTTCTTTAATCTGTGTCTGTGCCCAAATAGATTGTACCTTTGTGAATCGTGACCAGTCTGTAATATTGTGAGTGTGAATAGCATAGTAAAGTATATTGTTCACCCCTCTCTAACTTGTAGCAAAGCTTTGAGAGCAGCAATGTCACCACGGGTGCCTCACTCGTCTGACGTGCTCTGAGAGCCTCTATGGGTGGAAATGTAATAACCATTTGCCAGGCTGGCTTTACAGAGTATTATTTCCTCGGCCTTTTTTAAAACTGAAGGTAACTCTGTACACAGCAACCAGAACCAGTTTCCTTCTGTTTTTGTTGTTGCTCTTTGTTCGTTTGGTTGGTTGTTTTTCTTTTTCTTTTTTTTTTTTTTTTTTTTTTTTGGCCCCGTCCTCCAATCCCCCCAGCCCTTGCTTCCCATGCCCCAAACTAAAAGTCATATTTGGTAACTTGTCTTTGTTGGGTGGTTTTCCTTAGTGTCTGTCCCATGTATTTGACTGACATGTTAGTTGACTATAGTTGAGGCCTTCCTACAGAGCTTGCTTGACTGTAAAGGCTTGCTTCTCTCCTCAATGTCCTCAAATTAATCATTATCCTAAGAAAAGAGGCCTTGCCTCCCTCCAGCCTGGAGGCTACAGGGCTTTGACTAGCCAGGCCTCACCAAATTGAAAAGCCCTCTTGAATGGCAGCCTGCCACAGTTAGTGTTTGTCAATGTGGGCACTGAGGCAGAATAGTGAGCACAGGGGTGATGGGAAGGCTTGCTGGAAGGGGAGGACAAAGCTGCTGGTTTCCAACCCTGCTGTCCGAGTGGAGCTGCATCCTGTGCGAGTCTTTAAAACAGACGCCCTGAGTAGTGTGCCATCCACACTGGGCAGCCCCTGTCCCAGCCTCACAACCCACGTCTCAGCCCAGTGTCTGCTTCAGGGAGAGACATGTCAGCTGTGTCACGGGGACCTGCGGGAGGTTTGGCAGTGGGCAAATGAAAAGCAACTGTTCTGCTTGTCTCTGACTGAAGACCGCCAGTCATCCCGTTAGACGTCGTGATGGAGAAGAGCAAGACCGGGCTCCAAATGTGTCTGTTAACCTGCGAGGACAGGTGCTCCCCACAGAGTCACTTGCCTGCATTTGCATTCTGTCTGCAGTTGATATCTTGCACAGCTATGGCCACATGTTCATCTCTCGTACCACAGTGTTCTGAGGTCAGTACCACGGCCGCAAACAAGAGAAGCGAAAGCTGAGACCACCACAGAAGTTAGAAGTTAGTCTATGGGAACCATCTCTTTCTGGCTGTGGCGTTTTGTTTAAATTTGTAGAAGCACAAATAATGTAAGCAAACGTTAGAACTACACTCATTACCAATGGGGTGTATTCAGCAACTAAACCCTAAAGATTTAGGGCATGCCATATGATGTGTGGGATCATTATTACTAATGCTGACTAATTAAATAAATGTTAACCTTGGAGCTCTGTGACTCCCAAGAACTCTGTATTATGCAGATACCGTTTTTGTATGAAAAGCAAAGTACCTCTTCTCCTACAAACCATATGAGGTAAAATATTTGGCACTAATAAACCTGTCTGTCTGCCTGGACATGGTGGCACACATATTTAAAGAGATATGTCTTAAAATAGTTTATGATTTCTTTCTAAAACTTCCCTGGAATTAAATAATCACTATATGATCTGATTTTGGAAATTGTTTCTGGGGTAGCGGCAAGGGCTGCACCCACTGACCTATACCTTCAGACTTCCTTTTTCTTTTGTTTTTTGAGGTTATTTTATTGTATTTGTATATATGTGTAGCAGGTCTGTGCAGAGGCCAGAAGAGGGCATCAGATCTGTGGAACTGGAGGTGGTTGTGAGCCACCAAGTGGGTGCTGGGACACAAAACCCAGGTCCTCAGCAAGAGCAACAAGTACCTTTAACCCCTTAGCTGTCTTTCCAGCCTCTTCATTTTATTTTTATAAATCTTATAGACCCTGAATTAATCATAGAGGACCTATAAATTTTTATACTTTTTAAATATGTTTCTGAAAGGTTAATATCTTGATGTATCATGCTAATAATCAATCGTATTAAACATTTTGGAAGTTTAAAATGCTCTCAGAATTCTGTATTGCAGATTTCATGGTCAAATTTGGGGTAAGTGTTCTCCTTGTAATAACATTGAACTCTAAGGTGTGACCCTCACAAAATAACAGCAGTGATGCTTTAGTTCAGTGGTTCTCAACCTGTGGGTCATGACCCCTTTGGGGTCACATATCAGATATCCTGTATATCAGATACTTACATTATGATTCATAACAGTAGCAAAATTATAGTTATAAAGTAGTAATGAAATAATTTTATGGTTGGGGTCACTACAACATGAGGAACTGTATTAAAGGGTCGCAGCATTTTGAAGGAACTGGAGAATGGTCATTTGTCTTTCTCCAAGGCCATGACCAGGGAAACAAACATGTGAAGTTTTAAATGTCTACATTTGATTCTTCAAATCTTCTGTGAATTATCTGCTGCAATTGAAGTGAGCTTGTAGTTTTTTAGACATGTACAATTCCTGAAAAATATCCAGGAGGATTATTTCTGACTGGATTGAAAGCTTACATTTGTATTGTGGTATAAACTCGTTAGAAGTTCTGTTTTATTATATTCATTCTCCTGTATTGTTTTCATCAGGCAATTTATCACATGGCTGTATGTGAAATTTCTTCATTTATTAAATTTCAGATTATGTATTTCAAGCCAGAGCAAGACTTAAACATTTTCCCCGTAAGTGTAGCTTCAGGTAAACAAGCAATTTTAGCCCCGAAAATAGCTCCTGCTCTGTCAACATGCCGCTTATTTTTTCTCTGAGATAAAAAGTTCAGTTTTCTGATATTTGTACCAAGATAAAGTCAGTAAACAAGATTAATATAGTGTGGAAAAGGTTGTCAGCAGCCCTGGCAAAGGAAATAAGTTGCCTGTACATAGAACATACTGTAAACTGAATAAAAGTGTCAGGTCCGCCATGAGATAATGTGATCATGGACGTCTAACAAACCATGACACGGGCCCAGGCGGCTTTTCTCACAGCTCCAGTGTAGAAAATGGATTACTGTGTTCCAGGGATACCTGCTGGAATAACATGAAGTTGTACTCCAAGATGAATGTGGGATGTGGCCCTGGAGCAGAGCCAAGTGTTACCTGTGGCCACCCTGGACATATTACTGTCACCCCCTGCTCACTGGCTCTGTTTGGGTTTCTAGGAGTGTCAGAGTGGATGCTGGCACCCTTGTTACTCAAGGGTTACAAGAAGAAAGTTTCCCAAAACGTTTTTTGTTTTGTTTTTTAGGCCATGCTTTTTTTTATTCTGTTGTGGTTAAATGGCTCTTGTGTAAGCAAACAGGCACAGCTTTCATTATGAGGGAGCATGACTCAGAGTCCTTTGCTTTAAGTTCATACCTTGTCATTGGTGATGGCAAATTCATCCATCTGAGAACCTTGGGTATAACAGTAATGCTGTGAGGTTCATCACAGACTTGAGCAGTTGACACTGTAGATGAAACAATTGATATTTTCTTGTCAAATTTCTAATGTTACATAGACATAGAGGAGCAAATGTTCTTCCTATTTGCTAAATGCTAAATTATATTTCACTCAATATAATTACCCTGGTAATTCCTTCCTTTGTGGAAAATATATAGAAAAGACCGTTCACTGCTCCTTTGACAGAAGTGTTTGTACTGCCTGAATTTGCACGTCATAATGCAAACTTCTGTGTTTAGAAATCTACCTCAGAAGTGGAGTTCACAAAAGCAGCATCTGCTGGGGAGTGATGAGGTTAAACCTCTTCTCACATGGGGTTCACAGTCACTGCTCTCTTCTTCAGCATGGTGTTTACACTGTGGTAAAGATGCTCTGACAGTGTCTTCAAAATCTAGTAGAGTAACTCTGTTAGACCAACAAGATCTCTGGAAAGATTTATTTTATTTATGGAGGCCCAGGAGCGCTTCTGATCCCCAGGAGTTGGTGTGTCAGGTGGGTGCTAGGCACCGAGGTCAGGTCGTGATTGCTCTCCATCCCTCACAGGACCATTCTTACCCAGATTTCTGCTCCTTGCCATTTTGTCTTGGATTTGAAAATTAATCTTTCCTCCATTTAGAAAGATATCTTCAGATTGTTACAGCCCTGCACTGTCTTTAGCAAGCCAATTGTGACCTGTTTTTGTCATTTGTTTTAAAATCTCTTTTCAGACGTCTGCTCCTGGCCCCGTCAGTAACAAGAGGATGGTTCACTTTTCCCCAGATGCCCATCACCATGAGTGAGTGCTCATGTTCCTGCAGCTTGCTGGGTTATTCCACTTGTTTCTTTTAAGAAATTGGGTGACTATTTCTGAGTGACAGCAGTTTAATTTGTGCCTGCTTTAAAAGCATAAGGCATGTGGATGGTAACAGTATAAAAACAGCTGAAATGGAGCCCATGACAGACACAGAAGGACTTGTAAATACATTCTTTATATTGATAGAGTTTGAAATTCATGCCGTATTCCCTGAAATCCAGGCTGTATCTAAAAGCATTTAAATCTTTATGAAGTTGACCTCACCGAGCCTGTACCCCAGCCTTTCTGTGATGCCAGCATGAATGCCAAATGGCCCATCTTCCTGATGCTTCTCCACTCGCAGCTTCTGCCTGGCTAGCCTTTGCTTATCACAGTGAAGATCTATAATGAAACCAAAATGTATATCCTTTAGCAACAAAAGAGATGGCCCACTAGGTAACTTTAGATAGCTAAACAGTTATATTACTTTAGTAAACTATAGGTGGGATTTTGGGAAGGTGACCTCAATTCTAAATAGACTTGTTGGAAAAGCCTATGTTGTGTGTGGTAGTTGGATGTCATTTGTCTCTTCTACCATCTGCAGTTGATTGAAATTGCCACCTATGAGAGAAGAAATGGCATGAGTTCATTAAAACAATTACTTTTTCCTAGAAAATAGTCTTACTAAGATCTGTTAATACTGGCTTTCTTTTTAGAAAACAAAAAACAAAACAAACAAAACCAATTGCAACCTAAATAGAAAATTAACGATTGTTGAAGCATAGCAATATGATAACAGAATCTCCCTGTTTTCTTGCTTGATGTGATGAAGCTTTAAAAAAAAACCTTCAGGTAACAGCCGAATGTTGTGTAGAGTTTCTGTATTAATTTTGTTTGTTGAACTACAAAGCTTAGGTAAGTAGATGTGGCACTACTTAACATAAAACTCTTCAGTAGATGCAGAGTGTAGATGCTCTGCGGGCAGGGGATGCTTTCCTTATTGCTGCTGCACTCCTGTGCTAGCCCAGGGCCTGACAGGGAAGACGCTCAAACAGAGTTGTGGAGTGCCTGAAGACCCCAAGTGCTGATTTAAACTAGGGCACACTGACCTGGCTGTGGGCCATGGCAGTGTACCCATCCCAGCACATGGAAAGTGGAGGCAGAAGGATCAAGAGTTAGAGGTCATGTGTGGCTATTTAACAGGTTTGGGGCCAGCCTCAGCTTGATGAGACCCTGTCTCAAAAAAAACTAATGAATAGATAAGTAAATAGGAAGAACAGGATCGGGCCAACTGCCGTGTTGCCTCTAAATTCACAGGACTTACTCTGAGTGTCCCTCTGTCTCCTCCACCCCAGGATCTCCAAGGTTCTCAGTCAGTGAAGACGCTTCAGGGGTAGAACACAGATGTGGCTATGTTACTATTCCCCTGTGTGAGGATTGCCACTGGTTCACCACATAGGACTTAAATCTCTAATTTCACTTCATGCCTTCTCCATGTCTCTAGTCCAGTTCCCAGTGTCTCTCCTGACCTATTCTTTCCCATTTCCTACTCCATTGCCTTCTTTATTAACTTTTATGTCAGTGTAGCATCCCAGTGGACCCCTCAGTCTCTGGCTTTCCATGGTTCCAGGGCATAGTACTTACCTGAGTAGTGACTCAGGTTCAGATCCAGTCATGTTACTTCATATCCGCACTGTTGTCTGCTGCCAGTGGGCAGACAGTCATGGACAGACGCCCTGCACAGCCAAGCCTGTTATTCATCTATCATCGTCTTTCCATTCTCTGCCCATAACCTTCAGATCAGTTCTGCTCCTAGTCCCTGAGTCTCTCCTGTTTTCACCTCCACTGCCTGTGGCCCTGGGATTGGCTCCTGTGTTCTCTCCTAGGCATAGTTGTCAGGACTCTGAAAAAACTTCTGTCAGTCTGGGCCAGGTACAGACTTAAACCAACATAGCTTGGGTTTGTTTTGTTTTTGCTTTTCTTTAGATTTATCTTTCTTCTTTTGTTTTCTCACATAAGGTGAAAAGGGGGCTTTTGAAAAGCTTAAAGATACTGATTTGGGGCAGACTGCTTCTGCTTCTCCTTTGCCATCTGTATTCCTTGCTAGGCTGCTGTAACAAAGCCCCACAAATAGATGGCTGGAAGCCCCAGGTCTGATGCCAAGCTGTCTGTAGGGTTAGCTCCCTCCTGCATCTCTGTGGGCCTCTCCCCAGCCGCATCTTCAGGGGGCTTTTCCCTGTGCTGCTCCTTTTCTGAATGTCTCCTTTATAAGGCACCAAGGCAGATAAATAAGACGTTTCATAATGTCACACTGGACTGCAGCCCTGCCTCGCTGACCTCATTTTACCTTGTGTCTGTAGAGAGCCTATATCCAGACAAGGTCCTCTTTTGGTTTATGATATTAGGACTCCATACTGTCTTTTGCAGGGACATAATTCTGCCAGTAACATTGCCATCATTGTCCTTTTCTCTTATGTCCTCATGTTTATTGTCTCCTGGTTTGGAGATGACTGCTTCTGGTCCTCAGCTCCTCTGCTCTGGAGAGGGTAGTGCCAGCAGCTCCCCTTTTCACCTTCCAGCAAGAGAGCTTCTCGTGCTGTGCACACTCTCCCATCTCCCCTTCGTGCCCATTGACCAGAATCAGAATACTTGTATTGGTGAAATTATTAAGGCCACTCCACGTAGTTAAAAGGAGATTTATTTAATGGCGTAACTTACAAATTAAGGGATAGGTAGGTCGTGGGGTCTGGGGAAGGTGTATCACAGTCCAGCGGTGTTCTCTGGAGCTCTGCTTGGCCCACCTCCACCGTCCAGGGTCCCGGAACCGAGAGCAAGCCCTGGCCCATCCAGATCTCGGGTCTCCAGGCGCCTCCCTTGGCCCCGCCTTATAGACGTGGCAGTTGCCAAAGTCTCAATGGTGGTTGGAACTTCCAGATCAAAGCTGGAATGGCTACCCACTACATACTTGGTTGTCATGGCTTGAAGAAAACCAGGAAAGAAGATACATAGTCAAGTTCCAGACAGGTAATAACTCTGTAGGTGGGCACAGTTACCTCTAACAATCAAGCCTGAGAAGGAGATACTGTCCAGCGAGTAGCTACTGACAGTTTATCATGCCCAGTCCATTGTCTCTGCCCCATGCCCATGTTTTGTTCTTTCCAAACATACACAGTGTGTGGAATACCCCAGCCTTCCCCAGAAGAGACCTCTTCCAGATCTCATGTGGTTGGTACTTCATCTCTCTCAGACTCTCATCCAGGGCCTCTGAACGATACAGATGGTTAATTAGATCCTCTCGTGGATCATCTTTGTAAAGCGGCTTATGCACTTGTACATAAGCAGATGCACACATGTGCATTATAGAGGTGTGGAGAAGGAAGGCCATCTCAACAGAAGATGAGGATTCCACTTAGGAACGCCTTGCTTACTGCCCAGCGTGCACAGGCGGTTTGAGCAGCATTCCCCAGAGAGGACACTGCTTTGTAGGAGCAGCTGTTAAGACTGTAGTAGCACGTGTCATCCCAGGCTGCTGCATAGGTAGAGCCACACATCTCTCTGTGGGAAAGTCGGGAGTTCATCATAGACTGCTGGTGGCCGTGTACACTGTTGCTTGGCCTTTCTGCAGACACTCAGTTGGTTTCTCTTGTTTTCCATTCCACACTAACAGACAGTACTGCTTCCATGTGTCCTGTGTCCTTCCCTAGTCTGTCCCCTGAAGCATTCCATCTTGTGGTAGTGCATGCTGACCTCCAGGGGCAGATATGAGTCTCTAGCAGTTCTTGTCCACAGATGCTCAGTCATCTTTGTGGGATTGTTCTACTGAGTGGTTTTAACCCCTGCGCAGCAGCCTTAGTTGTGTGAAGCACAGACTTGCTAACTAGAGCTCCCCACCTGCTGCCTCTTTTCAAACTGCATCTCTAGTCTCCGGTTCTTGAGCAGGATGCTTGACTCTTCACTTTCTTTTTCACATCTAGAATGGCATCCAGCTAGAAGTTATTTGAATTAGTTGTCATGAGACGTCCCTTCCTGATGCTTAGACAGGAATCTAGAGAATCCATGAATTAATCCTCACTGCAATTTACCTTACAACTCAAGAACCTGTAGGAAAGCAGGAAGCAGTCATTAACCTGCTAAATATCTTCAAACTCTGTATTCAAGTGATGGCTATTGTTTTTATTCCATTAAGGATTCCTCTTAGTTTTTGGTTTTAAGCCAGGCCTGGTTGAACATGACTGTAACCCCTATACTCAGAAGGGCTAAGGCAGGAGGATTATAAATTCAAGACTGACCTGGACTACATAGTAAAACTTGGTAATTTTTTTAAGCGTTTTGTTTCTTTGTTTTGTTTTGTTGTTTTTAGCTTTCTCTATAAAGTCTCCGAAGGTGTCTTATAGAATCAGTTTAACTTGTGGTGCTGGGGAGATGGTGCGGTGGAGAAAGTGCTTGCGGCACCGGTGTGAGGACTCCCCAAACTCATACCCACACCTTTATCAACATGCACACATCCATTTGAGCACCACTCCCACAAACATGAAAATAAGTAGTTTCACTTGTCAACGTTAAAGTTCGAATAGAGTTGACTAAATAGAGTGAGTTACTGTGCGGGCTCAAAAGCTTGAAGGGTTTTTCAGTTTGGAATGATTGTTGCTAGAGGATCACAGCTCCCAGTGTCCTGTCTCTGGGCCGGGCTATGTAGAAAGAGCTGGGAAGGCACGGGAGCCTCCCAGCTGGAGAAGGGAAAGTTGCTTTCAGGGTTAAGAGGCCAATGGCAGTAGGCTACTCTATAGAGAACCTGGGCTCCCCACAAATAGTGGAGGCTGGTCAATAAAGGTATAGATAAGGGGTGGACTGCAGCTCGGAGCTCTTACATCCATGCGTGACATCCTAGGTTATTCTATTACTTCAATGGCTGAATAAATAAATACTGTAAAATAACATTTCAAGATAATTTCCATTATGCAAACAAAATTCAGATTGTTATTTGCTAATGGCAGCATTGCTAC